AATCTAAAAATAATTTTTAACAAGGATAAATGAGTTATATTCATCGGCACTTTTAACAATTATAAAATTTGTATATACTCAGAGTAAAAAATTTTAGAAATGCAGAAAAATATAAGGAAGAAAATAAAAACAACCCTCCCTCCCTCACCCCTATGACTTCACAACAACACTTTAGGTTATTTCTTTTTGCCCTTTTCCCATGTGTATGCATTCCCCTTTATTGAACACATCCTGTTGATGTTGTTCACCATCTCAGCTGTAGAGGGCGCAGTGTCACTGGCCCTCATGTGGAATCCGAACTGAGGCCCTGCTGCTCAGAGCTGTCGTCCCAAGCCAGCTCCTAATCAACGCGCTACTTGGCCAGCCTATCCCTATACTCTTGAATTATCGACCAGATAAAGAAATTTTGGTTTGAAGTTATTTTCTCTCTGTCTACTTGGAAGTTTTTACTTCATTACTGAGAAGTCTGATGTTAATCTGATTCTTAAGTCTTTGAAGTTCTATCTGGCAGCTGTTGTTAGGATTCTCTATCTTTTGTGTTATGAAATTTTGCTATATGTAAATTTTGTTACAAATTTTGCTATTAGGTTCTGAAATTTTATCTAACTGGGATTTAAAAGTTTATCTGGATTAACACTTGGTGATCCATCAATATGAGGACTATCTAATTATGGAAAAATTTTGCTGTGAATTCTTCCTCATGAATTCTGTTGTCTTTTGTTCTGCTTGATTTCCCAGTTTGCATTTAATTTACCCTTAAGTAGCTCCATTTGGCTATCAGCCTATTTTTAAAATTTTTATTAGTTTTAAAAAAATTTTCACAATTATTTCCTTGTCCCTGTATTGTGCCTTTTTTAGAATATCATGTAAATGGAATTATACTGTATATAATCTTTTGAGACTGGCTTCTTAGCCTATTTGAGATTCATTCATGGTGTTGTATGTATCGGTTCATTCCTTTTCATTGCAGAGTGGTGTTCCACTGTGTGAATGGACCATAGAGTTTATCTATTTTCCCATTGATGGACTTTTGGGTTGTTTCCAGTTTTTGGCAACTATGGATAACACTGCTATAAACGTACATGTACAGATTTGTATGTGACCGTGAGTTTTTATTTCTCTAGACTAAGTACCTACAAGTGGGATTGTTAGGTCATGTAGTAAGTATACATTTAACTTTTAGAGAAACTGCCAAACTGTTCTAGAGTGGTGGTACCAGTTTCATTTCTCAGTATTGAGAGAGTTCCAGGGGCTCTGCATGCATCCTCACCAGCACACCCTGATGGTAGTATTTTTTATTTCAGCCATTCTAATAGGTGAGTGATGGTATCTCATTGTGGTTTTAATTTGCATTTCCTCAAAAACTAATGATGTCGAGCATCCTTTCATGTGTTTTTTGCCTTCTTGGTGAGTTGTCTGTTCAAAACTTCTACTTACATTTTTATTGGGATTTTTTTCCCCTTATTGAGTTTTGAGTTTTTTAAAGATATATCTGGATTCAAGTCCTTTGTTGGATGTGTTTTGCAAATATTTTCATCTCTTAACAGTGTCCTTTGAGAGCAAAAGATTTAAATCTTGGATGAAATCTACTTTTCAAACATTTTTTAATGGATCATGATTTTGGTATCTTCTGTAAGAACTCTTTGTCTAAGCCAAAGTCACAAATTTCTTCTTTTTTTCCCCCCCTAAGAGTGTTGTAGGTTTATGTTTTACACTTATCATCTATTTGAGTTAATTTTGTATATGGTGTGTGGTATAGGCTGAGATTCTTTTTTGAGTTTACCAAAAAAACCATTTTTTTCACATTTAAGTTGCCTTTTTTTACCTTTAAGAGTAAAGGTTTTTTCTTTTGGTTTGTTTTTTGATAATTTTTTTTTAACTGTGTTGGGGAACAGTGTGTTTTTCCCAGGACCCATCAGCTCCAAGTCAAGTTGTTGTCTTTCGGTCTTAGTTGTGGAGGGTGCTGCTCAGCTCCAAGTCCAGTCACTGCTTTCAGTCTAATTGCGGGGAGTGTGTGTGTGGGGGGGCACAGCCCACCATTCCATATGGGAATTGAACCGGCAAACCCTGTTGCTCAGAGCTTGCGCTCTAACCAACTAAGCCACCTGGCTGGCCAAGAGTAAAGGTTTTAAATCAGCTTTAGAAAAATATTAATACCTTGGCCCCACTCAGATCAATAAAGTGATGATTTATAAAAGATGGTTTTTGGAATCAGTATATTTTTTTAAAATAAACTTTTAATTTTGGAATGATTTTAGATTTACAGAAAATAATAATACAGAATTCCCATATATCCCATAACCTTTCCCCTATTATTAGCATCTTACATTAGTATGGTATAATTGTTATAATGAGTGAGTCAATAATAATACATTAATATTAACTAAACTTCATACTTTATTCAGATTTCCTGAGTTCCTTTACTATTCTAGGGTTCCATCCAGGGTACTATATTACCTTTAGCTATCATGGTAGCGTGTCTCCTTGGATTCCGGTGGCTCTGACAATTTCTTTGACTTTAACAATTGTTTATTTACTTTTGATGACCTTGACAGTTTTGAGGATTAAAAGTCAGGTATTTTGTATAATGTTTCAATTGTGATTTGCTGATTCTTTTTCATGATTAGACTGGGGTATGTGTATTTGGGAGGAAGACCCCAGAGGTAAAGTGCCCTTCTCATCACATTGTATTCAGGGTGCACACTATCTGGGTGGCTTATCACCATGCATCTTGACCTTAATCCTCTGGCCACAGTGGTATTTGTCAGGTTGCTCTACTGCACAGCACTCTTCCCCGCTTTCTATGCTCTACTCTTGGGAAGGAAGCCACTGCCAGCCCACACTTCAGGAGTGGGTGTGACATTTTATCCACCTCCATGGGGGAGGGGGATCTACAATACATAAGATTTTTAGCCTTTATTTAAAAAAAAAAATTTCTGTGGGATTAGTGGTAATGTCCCCTCTTTCATTCCTAGATTTGTATTTTTTCTTGTTTTTCTTGTTCTTGTTCTTGATAAACAAATTTATGTTTATAAATTCTTTTTTTAAAGAACCAGCTTTTGGTATCAACTATTGTTTTTTGTTTTTCCTGTTTTTGTTTTAAATTTCATGGATTTCTGCTCTTATTTTTAATATTTCTTGATGCTTTGAATTTATTTTTCTTTCTGTAGATTTTATTGCATAAGTTGAGATTATTGATTTGATACCCACCTTCCTTTTTAATAAAAGCATTTTATACTGTAACGTTTCCTTTAAACACTGCTTTAGCTGTATCCCACACATTTTTTTTTTTTTTTTTTTTTTTTAGCTGAGCCATCCTGCTACCTGTTGGCAGCTCAGCGGCTGCTCAGCTTGGGCTGGACTCGAACCGCAGTTGCTCAGAGCTCAAACTCTTGAGCGAGCTCTTAACCAACTGAGCCACTCGGCCGGCCCTCCCACACATTTTAATGTGTTGTATTTTCATTTTCATTCAGTTCAAGATATTTCCAATTTCCTTTGATACTTCCTCTCGCCAGTGTGTCATGTAGTAGTGTGTTGACTGACTTCCTAATATTTGAGGCTGTTTCAGATATTGTTTTGTTACTGATTTTTAGTTTAATTCTATTATTGATAGAGAACATACTTTGAATCATTTCAGTTATTTTATATTTAATAAGGCTTATTTCCTGACCTTCCCTCAAAAGCAGTCTGTCTTGATGAGTGTTCCATGTGCATTTGAAAAGAATAGGTATTCTTTTGTTGACAGATGAAATGTTCTGTAAGTCTCTCTTAGGTTTAGTTGGGTGGTGGTGGTGGTGAAGTCTATATCCTGGCCCACTGTATCTTTGATTATTTTTCTGATTATTGAGAAAGGCACTTCTCGCAATGGAGCCTGCGAGCTGCCTGGGGTCTTAGTTTAGTTATTGGTTTTTGCCGGGTGTAGGATGGGCAGCACAACTGCATGCGGTTGTGCTTTAATGCAAAGCAGGAGGGGTGCTGCATTTGGCTAGCATTTCCTGGTGTCGGAATTCTGACTTCCAGTGTCTGGGAGGGAGGGCTGGATCCTTAAGTTCAGTCCTCTACTTTTACTTCATCTTCTTGGCCGTCCTGGTGTTCCATCCAGATCCTCTTTGCTTTGCTTGGGTGGGGCAGTCAGTAGTTGTTTGGTTGTATGAGATGGGTTAGAGAACCCCGGAGTCTGTTTCCCATCCAAATTTCCAGCCAGTCCTTGTCCTTCTGCCCTACTTCATCCACCTTTTCCGGGGTACCAAGTTCCCTCGTTCTCTGGAGCCTCCCTGGGCTTCTACAGCAAGAATGGTTTCTTCTTGGCCTTTGTCCCCCAACCCTGTTACCCCAGATGGGTGGAGCTTCAGGTTTCACTGTCCTCTTGAATCAGTTCCCAGCAATCCATTTGTTTTCCAGCTTCTCACATTTTGTTGCCTTCTCTTTGGCGTTGTTTCTGCCCTGTTTTCTTTGCCCTTGTAGATGTATGTTTTTTTCTCTTTTTTAAACCTTTAATTCTCAATTCAGTGGGTTTTATGAAGGGAGTGGAGGCAGAAATCTGGTTTAAGCCATCATTACCTGGAAGTGAAAACATAGTTTATAAGTTAATTGCCCATTTTGATTGCTCCCTGCCCACTTCTAGTTTTTTCTATTTGCTGACCTGAACCTTGGAGATTCTCAGGGGATCTCTTTAAGCAGGCTTACTTCTCATGCGTCATGTTTTGGGCTATGACTTTTCCTGTTGCTCTTCTTATGATTAGCAGTGGAATTTGTTTTTTTATCTCTTAGGGTTTTTCAGATATTCTGGCCTGATGCTGTATCCCTTTCTTATTTTATAAAACCATTATTTTATTCATTTTGTTTTGATTTCTTAATAGCTTATCCGTTCTCTCAGTTAAAACCTTGGGAGGGTGGAAGGTAGGTACATGGGCGCAGACCACTGTTTTTAACTGGAAGCTTCAGGTGATCAAAAGTTAACCTGATTGGCAGTAATTTGCATCCTTTTATTTACCTTTCAGCTGATGTAGCCCAACAGTTCCAGTATGCTGTGCGAGTTATTGGCAGCAACTTTGCCCCAACTGTTGAAAGAGATGAATTTCTAGTAGCTGAAAAAATCAAGAAAGAACGTACGTATTTTTCCTAAAAGTTGTCATTTTTGGCTTCTTAAATTTGTTAAAACTTAAAAAATATATATGCATACACATATATGCATATATATACTCATACGCACATACATACACACATATATATAAAGTATATATATATATGTATATATATACTATATATATATATATGTATTCCCAAGCACATTTTAATTGTAGGTAATGTTACATATATATGAAAATATATGTTAAAAATAAGGACAAATCAGTTCTGTCTTTTGTTAGAACATAGTGCGAGAGGATGGTTTTAAGTACTGTTATAAAAACAATTTGGTTTAAGAACGTGAGGAAGATAAAAGGGCTTAATATAACTTCCTGCTTATCTTGTAATTTGCAGTATTTAATATTATGCACCTTTTGACCAGATAACATAGAACACTTATTATCTTGGCAGTAAACAACTCTAAGTGAGTCAAGTATTGCTTATTAATTGTCAATATCCAAACTTACAGTACTTTTGAACTTATTATGTGAACATTTTAATGTTCAAGATGATACTGAAAGTTTTCTTGAGCATGGTTACCTTAGAGAAGAGAGCTTTCCATTTATTAGCTCTGGTTACTAATGTATTCTGTGTAAAGTGGGGTTCTGCCACCCCTCTGTACCCCAAAAGTGTCTAAGGGAAGCTTTGAGCATTGGGGCCCACGTGTGAGAATTGCTCTGTCTCAGCTGGAGAGTTGTTTTTCTCCAGTGGCCAGTTCCCCGCTCCTCAGTTTTCTGGGCTGTATGAGCCCGGCTCCAGCCTCCTGAAAAGCAGCCTTGCCATGAAGGTCAGGGATCTTTCTGCTGGGGTCTAACTGTTAAACTGCCCAAATGAAATGGGCTTTGGCCTTATTTCTATTTTGGCCAACTGGTAAATGACACCTTCTAGGAGATCTGTTCTTCTTTGCACAGTTTCCTACCCCCAGTTATTGCATTATTAACTGTATTTGGCCATTGGTCTGGGATGTCCTATATCAGAGCTGTAATTGAGCTGGACGGTGAGGTAGCTAGTGGTAGAGTTGAGACTGTGGCATGAAAGCAACTGGATCTGGCCATGGCCACGCCTGCATGCTTAGAGCTTGATGAGCAATGCAAGTTTGAAATGATGCATCTGCTGATATGAGCCAGACCTTGGTGTTCTTTGTGTGTGTGTATCTTATTTAAGGTAGGGGGGCAAAAATGCAGTATTTATCCTGTAAGAGCTTATTTTCCTTTCTTGTCTATAACACTGTACACAACACTACACTCTCTTCTCGAACCCTGATGATTATTACATTTTAGATTATTTTTATATTTTAGACTTTAGGTTACTTTATATTTTAGATTATTAGTGAGAACCCCAGCTACTAGGTACTATATTAACAGACCATTCCCTTTACAAATTTATATTTCAAGGCCTCCTGGTGAGTATATTACACATACATGTAGTAGCTAAAAGCAAAGTTTGTCTAAATTTAGAGTTAAAGAACTGGCAGCTACTTTGTTGCAGTGAATATTGCAAGGAAGTCTTGGAATTTCTTTTTTAAAGAGGAAAACTGTAACGATGTACAGTCTTTTTTCTATGTATCTTCTGTGGTTTTGAAATAAGACTTGCTGTATATTGACGCAGTTTGCCTCTTCCCACCAGGTATTCCCAGCTTCTCTTGGGTACCCCTGCCTGCACTTCTCCCAGAGTTCCCAGCTCTGATGTGGCCCAGATATAGTTGGTAGACAGTTAAAATGATAGTCTTCTCATGTAATGGTCACCATTGATCTATCATTTTTCAATAGTTCTTAGACATAGTTTTTGTAGTGTAACATTTTTGAAATTTTATTACAGTTTTTGGTAGATTAGATTAGTTGAGTTATAGTTCTGCCCTCTGGACTAATACAAAAAAGTTAATTTTCCATTTTATATGGCTGACTTCAGGTATAAAATGCTAGTGTTTTATATTGAAACAAATTGCAAAACTTGTGTGATAAAATTTAACACATTAGTTTCTTAATTTTTCACATCGGTGATTGGGGTACATTGTATCTCAGGATTTGTTTTGCTTTGTTTAGCAATGTTAGATGAAACTTTTTTTGGTAAAAATTCCATGTTCATTTTTATTTGTATTATTTACTATTGTTTTATTGCCCTACGACTAACTTTATATTTATGAATTAGAGTCAGTCTCATTCTATAGAAAAAAATGTCACTTAATTTCATGGTTGTGTTTATTTGGAGTATTTTTATATAAGCTTTAAAAGATAGTAAAGTATATTACATTTTAATTGCATTGGATTTATTGGATCCATTTTGTAATGGTACATTTTAAAGATAGCTTTACCTTTCGGCGTAGGAAGACTCGGAAGTGCAGATGTGAATCGGATAATGTAACTTCTGGTATGTGGTTCATACAATTAGTACATGATAACCAACACCATTTCCTAGCTGATGCATGTGAAAAAGTGTTGGCCGTCAAGTCAGTCATGTCTTTCTACAAACAAATTTGAACATTTAAAGCTAAGTGAGGTTGGTTGATGAAATTTTAAGAAAGCAGTCCTACTAAATTGGGATAAATAAATACAAAGATTCCTTGGAGACTACTGAAGCTGTGAGCTAGCTTTTAAAAATGGTGTAACAGGGTTTGTTTGAAGGGCACCTGTACACAGATGGTGTGTGCAGGGTTGTAGGTGTGGACAAGCGGGGTCTTCTTCCTCCCTCAGGGGTCCCAAATCCTGTGTGTAGTCTCCTCCTCCATAGAACAGAGCAAAGCATGGACTTCTCATTTGTTACCAGGGCAATCAATCATCTGAAGACATTTGCTAATAGAATGAATTAGTGGGTGAAAATTAGCTAATAAGCTGTTTTGATTTTTATTTTCAAACAGTAATTGACTTATTAATTTTGCTGTATATGTTAACAGAAGTGCTTAGAATGTGTTTTTTTTAAGTCAAACTATTATGAATGGTATAGTTTTTGTTACTGCCCTTTGAATTGAGGACTCCAAACACATTTTCACTTCCCATCCCACACTCCAGGTAGCCATTATTAACTAGCTAAACTGATGGTAGAGTGCTTCACTGGACTCTTTAGTATTTGTAGATAGAATCTAAATGATCCCATCATTTCTATTACTTCAGTTAATTTTCACATAAACTATTTGATTCCAGCTGAAAAGTGTCCATATTTCACAAATGTCAGAGAGATTACATGAATTGACCAAATTCATGAAGTTGAAATGTCACTCATTATCTAGTTCTTTTGATTCTTAAGCTCAGGGTTCTTATCAGACTTCAGAGTTGTCTGTCTGTTACTGTAGGTGAAATAGTATCAATGAATTTTGGTGATTGTGATTAACACACTTATTTTCTTTTCTAACTTTATACAGTTATTCGACAAAGAAGAGAAGCAGATGCTGCACTGTTTTCAGAACTCCACAGAAAACTTCATTCACAGGTGTCACACAAGCATTCTGAAAGCCATTCCAGAGGCTATTAGAGTGATCTGCAACCATATGAACATTTTTTTGTGGTTTCATTAAACTTTTCTATATATTGAGTAATGTTTTTAATTGTAGACAGTGTTTTCCTTTTAAAAGATTTTTCAATGTTAGAAGTAGGTTTTGCTGGATTTAATGCTCAGTTGTTTATAAACCTGTATGAAGCAACATTGGGAAAGTAATCAGACTTATGTACACAATAAGTATATATTACAGAAGCTTTAATTCCATTACTGGGAAGAAGCACATTGGTATAACAGCAAAAGCTAATGTTTTGCTACTCTTTATTGTTCATCAGGTCCTAATTTATACTGTTATAGTGAATAACTTAAAATTGATTTTGAACATTTTGTGATAGGATGTTGATACTTGCACGCAGTGGTTTTTCGAACCTGTGATTTTTATAAAAGACTCAGCGTATACATCAATAAATTAATCGAGTCATAGGTGATATTTTTGTGATTCTGACTATAAGGGAACTTAGTTCATCTAGTTGTCTCCCACCTTTTATAGAGAAGAAGGTGAAATCCAGAGAAGTTTAATACTTTACTCAACATTTATTAGGTTAATCTTGCAACAATAAAAATCACTTGAGTTTTGCCTAATGCTGCTAGTAAATAAACTCATCATTTTTTCATGTCTTCTTTATTCGTAAAAATAAACTTAAATTTATTTGCTGCCCGTTTTGACTCCTTAATTCAACTTGATTACTTGGAGTCACTGTTTTAAGTATGCTTTTCCATCTTTGATAATATGTACCTTGCTGGTAGCGGTGCCCACCTGCTTCACCACCTCTTGTTTCTGTGTCCCTCTGCACAGTTACACACACACCTCCCGGTCCCTCTATCAAACATTCTTCAGCAGACCGATCCTGGCTATTTAATACCTGTTCTTCTATGTGAAAAAAAAAATGTTGCCACCACTTTTAAATATGCCATTTGCTGATTCTTTTGTGCAGTTTTGTTTATTTTTGTTTTTACTGTCCACCTCGTATACATCCTTGTTTTTCGGAAACACTTGAGGATCTAACCCAGGACTCTTGCTGCACAGATAGAATGGCTGCTGTCGTCCTGATGCCTGCTGGGCATTTTTATGCAAACACCTCTTAGGAAACTGTCACAGGGGCTTGGAAACTGAAAAGAGCATACATTTTAAATTTCATACCTCTAGCCATCCATTCACATCCACCCACATACAACCTGCTTTTCCTTCTATGTTCTCCCTTTTGGTGAATGGTAGCACCATTCATCTATTGCCAAAGACTAGAAACTTGGATGTCATCTTGACTCCACCACTCCCCAAATTCGGTCTTGCCCCCAGTCCTATTGATTGTTCCTCTTATGTATGCCTCTCATCTGTCCCTTTGGAGTCAGACCTTGGTTTGAATCCTGGTCTATAGCTTTGGGATTAAGTTATTTAGGCTTCACCTCTTCTTATTGATGGAATGAAGAGAAAGCTTGTGTCTCTGTGGTTGTGATGATTGCAGGAGGTGATGTATGTAAGGCCTTGGCCCAGCAGGCCCCCTTTAAATGGCAGCTGCTGCTGTTGACTGACTGCCCTCTAATGCTTAAAGGAACAGGACTGGCAGAAAGCAGCTCTTTGGAGACAGACAGACAAGGTTTAGATCCTTCCTCCTGTGCCCCAAAGGAGCCACTGAGCCTCAGAGGCCCAGCTAATGGGGGGTCGTCAGGGTTGCTGTAGTAGGTGTTCAGGCACTGCATCGCAGCTCAGTCCTTGGTCATTTCCCCTCCAGACGACTGCAGTTTCCCAAGGAGGCCCTCTGTTGCGTTTTGTCTCTCTCGTAGTCCATCTTCGGTGGGACTGTCAGGGGGTCTAGTCACTCCCCTGCATGGAATCCTTCAAAGGCTGCCTGTTGTCTTCAGCTTAAAATCCAAATTTCTTGGTATAGCATACAAGGCCCTCATTGATCTGATTCTTTATTCCATTTTTAGTTTTCATTCCCTTGCGTATCTTCAGCCACATTTGTCTATTTTCAGTTCCTGGTAGAGGCCATGCCTGTCCCCCTTCTCTGCCTTTGTATCACCCATCTTTCTAAGAAACTTAATGTCTCCTTTGGGAGTCCTTTCCTGGGCCTGGAACACTTGAGTGATTCTCCTGTGCCTGAAATGTAATTTATCATAGCAAAGTGTTTTGCCCATTTGCCTACTTAACACTGGACTGAGGACTCTTTCAGGGCTGGGTTGACCCAGCTGGGGAGTTTGTTATTTCTGCAAAATTCTGTGAAAATCAATTTTTTAAGTTAGACCATAATTTAAATACCTAGAATGAGCTTATTCTATAAAGAAACTTTCAAGGAATATTTTATATAATGAAGAACTTACATAATGTAAGTAACCATCCCATAATTTGTTTTGTAAATAAAGGTATTTATATATTCTAGCCTGTACACCCAAAAGGTAAGGCTGTATGAATAGAGTAGAATGCTCTGTAAATTCAGGGTGAAACGTATTGAGGGCGGGCTGCTGTTAATGGTTGTGAATCAGGGCAGAGTGATAGGTAATTGGAAATTAATGAAATCTGTAGGATAACATTATGTAGACACCTAGGGGTTAGTTATCCTGGCAACTAAGAGCTTCAGAACTTTGAGTTTAGGTATGCATGATGCCAAGACGTACATCTTACACTTTAGAATTCTTTTTTTTAAATATAATATATTTTGTTGCCTAAATGGGACATTGATAAAGGGAGGGGGAAACCATCACATATTTTATGATGGCGTTTTTCTTATAATCACTATGCTTAGGAAGTTGGTTATTATAAGAATTATTTCATGGGGAAAATATTATTCAAGAATAGGGTTATTAAAAAAAAATCTTATTAGGGACTTTGGAGTTAGCTTTCAGGGGACTAAAGGCTCCAAGGGTATTAGCCTCTTGAGAACATTATCTCTAGCCTTTTGATGGATAGTGCTATTTGCAATGCCTGAAAAATGAACAAATTTAGAGTTGATGTTACCACGTGAATTTTAAAAGGCAATTCTGTTTTGGAAATAATAATTTAGGAGAGAGGAGGATAAAACTAGAGAGTAGTACTAAGTTGCTCTGTTAATGCTTTTTTTTTTCTAAACAGGGAGTTTTGAAAAATAAATGGTCAATTCTCTACCTCTTGCTAAGCCTTAGTGAGGATCCACGCAAGCAGCCAAACAAGGTGAGAGGCTGTGTTCTAGCAGCTCAGTGCCTTTTTAAAGGACACTTTGCACCTTTAGTTGGGACAGTTATGCCAAGTTTTGTTTCCTTTTTTTCAGGGCAGTTTTAGTCATTGTGCTGTTTCCTTAAGATATTTTTCAGAATTGTTATTCAAATATAACCGTGTTCAGTTAAATAGAGCATAAACTATCAGTTTTCAAAATTTTTACTGTGTGAAAATAGTAATATCAACTCAACTGTGTAATTCTTTATGAGTCAGAAGACTTTTTAGGATTTTCTTGTGTTTTTAGATATTATGAACATTGATTATTGTTATACCAGTGGAAACTTGTCATGTGTTCAGTTTTTGACCCACGTAGTGTTTGAAAAGCAAATTGGCTGCTCCATGTACCAGAGAGTCTGTTAGAATATACTACTCTACTGCAGAAATTTCAGAGCTGAAAACATTGAAGAATGTGGTGAAAGAGTCCTATTTATGTCTAAAGCCTTATTCCGAGTAATGAATATTCTTTCATCATATAAGAATGCCAAACTTTTAAATATATTTGAGTAATTATTTGAGTTGTAGTTTGCAAAGATTTTGAATAGTGTTTGTTATCAGACCATGCGCGAGTTTTAGAGTTCAGAAAACTTTCTAAAACTTTATCCAGTTCTGACATATTTTAAAAGTATAACAACTGATTTATTTTTTAATAAGTGCAAAATCTAATTACAGAAATAGAACTAAAATCTGAATATAAATTATCTTTGTTGATCTGGGAAGAGTGTTCTGTCATTTTATATCTATATTCTTAATTCATTTTAATTGATTTTCAGGTTTGTAGCTACGCCGCTTTATTTGCTCAAGCATTACCAAGAGATGCTCACTCGACTCCCTATTACTACGCCAGGCCTCAGACTCTCCCGTTGAACTACCAGGACCGCAGCACCCAGTCAGCACAGAGCTCGGGCAGCATGGGCAGCAGTGGCATCAGCAGTATAAGCATGTATGCTCTCAATGGCCCGACCCCCACACCACAGTCTCTCCTTCCGGGGTAAATCAAGCTGACTTTCATGCCTAGATTCCTGAGAGAGCAGAAACAGGGAAATTCCCAGGCTTTTAATTAGGCATCCTAAGTTCACTGAAACTACCTTTAGAGGCCTGTTATGTACCAGGAATGTTCTAGGCAGTGTGTCTGATATGCTTTCTCTTTGGATTTTACGCTTCCTAAAAACCCCATTTCAGATAGGAGTTCTTTCCACTTCTAATCTTAGTTGATGGTAGATTATTGGCCAACTCTCGACCTATTAATGCAAATGCAAATGATTCAGAAGGCAGATGTGCTGGGCCTTTCACTTTGAGGTTCTGATTGACATTTCTTTTGCTGTAGTCTCACATTTATCTCAGTGAATACTGTCTCCTTCATTGATGTATGTTGTTCTCTTCATTGAATTACTTTAAAATAAAATAAACCTGTCATCCTCAAGTGCTGAGATCTTTAAGAATGATGACATCTTACAGTGCAAGTGAATTAAGATGTGGAACTACACTAACACACAAGTAGTATGTTATATACTTTGCAATTCAACCTGCTCTCAAATCTAATTACATTTTGAGGAATTACAGAATTTATGATTGAGAATAAACAGGTGCCAGTATATTAATGGACTTAGAACGTTGTTTTTCTTTGTTTATTTATGTACACATTTCTATGCATAGTTCATTCCTAGAAATTATGGGAAAGCAAACTATCACCAAGTAGATATTTTTCCAGAAGAACAGTGACTAAGGACTCACCATCAAATGATATTTTCCACACGATCATAATATAATTATAAATCATTGTGTAACTCAATAAAATTGCATTAGAAAATGAATGTGTTTACCACACACATGCATTATAAATGGTATCTACAGTTCTAGAAAGACAGCATAATTCTACAAATTTAATCTCAAACTCGTATTCTACCTAAGAGATTAAACAGACTTTCTCATTTTCACCTTAAAATTTGAAATAATTGTCACGATATGAAAAAAGCTGTGGAAAGCACTTTGAACCAAAGTGGTCTATTCGAATTTTTCTCTTAAATTTAGAACTGTATTCAAAGACATAATTTTATTAGTAATAGTTGTTGATGACTTTTTACCCCATTGAAAGTAGAAAACAGTAAGAGCTGTTGCAGGTTTTTGCTTTCCTCTCTTACTTCATCAATGGAGTATAGATGGACCCACCAGTATTATACCAGTAGAAAATCAGAGCTCTGCCACTTGGAAGCAGTAGTGCCGTTGAGATTCTCGTTTTTGTGTTTTGCAGTCACAAGAGGCGATAGTTTTGTTATAGTTGTTAAAACATATGTCATTAGAAATCAGCTATCAGGTTCTTAGATCTTCCAAGAGTGTCTTTGACAGTCTCCAAATTATTAAAAGCTGACTTGACCTTGGATGTGCTTTTGCCTTAGATTTTGTTTTTACATTTTGAAATTAATTACAAATTAGATATTTCTTTTTATTTTGAGCACCATGAAGGCTGGGAGACAGTGAGGACAGGGAAGAGGGACAGTATTTCAGATTTTTAACTCCTATGCTCAACAAATGTTGAGTGAATGATAGGTGTTAATATTGAAGTTAAAGTTAGTAGTGAATTTCAAAGTGGTTTTGGATGGGTAGCATGTTATGTGTTTGAAAGAAAAGTCAAATAAAATTTGATTTTGATGGTAAGAAATATGTGTGGAGGTGGCAGTACGAACCTGAATGCCAGTTAAGAATCCCAAGGAGGCCTTGGACTGATCGTTGTTGATATATTGGTACGGTTAAGTCATTCGCCTGTCTCAGATGTATAAGATTATATAATTCAGTATAGTAATATAAGAAAAATTTCTGGAACTGTTTTTGTATCTTCAGTGAATAGCCTGGGTATTTCATGACACAAAATGCTCCTTTTTTAGACAGTCTCATCCAACTCCAGGAGTAGGCGATTGTCTTCGACAGCAGTTGGGGTCACGTCTTGCATGGACTTTAACTGCAAACCAGCCTTCTTTACAAACCACTACCTCAAAAGGTATTCCCGGTACTGTTTCTCGAAACATCACAAGACCAAGGAGAGAAGGGGATACAGGTGGTGAGTAAGGATATGCTTTAATGTAGCTTTTCTTAGAGCACTTAGAATTTACGCTTCCCTTATTTCAAAATGTTGATCAGGAATCCCCGCTTATTGCTTTTGATGGCTTCTTCTCATGATGAGGGTCAGACTCCTAAATATGATCTATGACACCTTGGGAAGTTTGGGTTTATCAACCCATATCACCCTGACCTTGTATTTCCTGCACCATTCACTTTTTAGGTCCTTGTCTGAGTGGTCTCCTCCATCTGGATCTCTCTTCTCTTCTTCGTCACATGCCCCTTCTCTGTTTTTATTCTTTCTTCCTGGGAAAGCATCTCCAGGCTGGATCAGTCCCTCTAGTATAAGTCACTGTCTCCCACCGCAGTCCTAAGTTTCATGAAGGAGGGGCCATTTCTGTTTTGTTCACTGTGCTAGGAACTGGCATAGTGCCTGGAACATTAAAGAAACTTACTGAAGATTTATTTGGTGGTTAAATGCATGCTTCATTCTGAGTTTTAAAACTCTTCGAGTCCAAAGAAAGTTTGGGTTTCTTTCATGAGAACTCTACAAATAGCAGTGTTTAGACCATGAGTATCCTGAAAATAGAAGGGGCTTTATTGTTGGTTCATAATCTACTGATTCTGAAATTCCTCTAGCTATTTTCTGTCCTTGCATAGGATGGGAGGATGAGCAGTGTCGTTTGGGCTTGTGAGGACATCTCATACACAGCTTGGCCTGCCTCTTTGTAGCCGCCCTTAACCAGCCTCTGTGTGTCCTGTGACATGACAGCTACATGCTCTTAAGCTTAGAAGCTAGTCTCTAGACTGAGTCAGAGTACTATTCTCTGCTTCTTTCTTTTTGTTTACTGTGACTCCTGATCCCTAACCAGTGCCTTTAAACTGTATCCTACACAAAGCTTAGAGATAAAATAGGACTTAAAAGCATGGTTGATTAATCCAGAAGTACAAAGGACGAAAGAACAGTGGGATAAAAATGATCAATAATGATAGGTAAGAGTTGAACAATACTACTTGCAAGTTGATGTAATTGTTATTTATAGACTATTATCCCTGTGACTGAAATACACACCTGTTCTTGCTTTCTGACTGTGCTGGCCTGGTTCTGAGGGTGCTCATCCCCACGGTATATTCTGATTAACTTTCTCCCCTCACCGATATATTGGATTGCTGGGCATTGCCTCCTCGTCATTATTTTGAGTAAAACCTAAATTCTGACTTGGCTTTTGTTCCAAGGCTTATGTAAATTATAAATAATTTTGCTGCTGTATTATTAACTCCTCTTTACGTAGTAGTGTTGGGAATGGACCGAGGTTTATACACTTGTTGTATAATAAGCCACTTTTTCCAAACACTGTCTATGAAATAATTATCCATACCTTTGTGATAGATTTGTGCTGCTCCTTGGTTGTAAATTTCCACATACTGCATTGTCTCTCTAAAAGACTTTTTGTATAAGAAATTACATGACCTCTATATCCTTTTCAGAAAATTCTTATTTCTAATAACTTCATACTCTTTTTTTATCTTAAGTGCATATATTTAGTTTTTAAATTTTGTCCTGGTTGTAAATATATAATCTGAAACTAATAATGTCATAATATTTATTTCATCTTAAAATGTGTTGTTCAGTAATTACTCTCTTATAAAAACCATTTTCTAGGTGCTGTGGAAGTTACTGAGGCAGCCCTTATCAGAGACATTTTGTACGTATTCCAGGGCATAGATGGCAGAAACATCAAGATGGACAACACTGAGAACTGTTACAAAGTGGAGGGAAAGGTATAGTTACTAAAACCCCATCTAAAATATTCAAAATAAAAGATAAATATTATTCAGACCAGATAAGAGCTATTAATTTGTAAGGTATTACTGGGATAATGAGGCCTGGATTCACAAAATCGTGTGTACCAATCAGGTTGCACTTTTAAATTCTGGTTTGTATTTCTCTGTGTAGTTTGTGGCTTCTATAATCTTGTTTTGGGAACCTTTGTCAGCCTTTCCATCCTTTTGCTTCCTTTCCCTTGCATTTTTCCTTTCCTTGTTTTTCACTGATGCAACCGCCCCTTAGTTAATTTCTGCATCCTGTGATGGTGATGGAAGAGGTACCTGCGGGACAGGTGTGGCTTGGTAGCTTTGCTGTTGACACAGGATTTCACATAAGGTGCCTTTGCTTGCTTTTGCTTTCGTCTTCTGGAATCTGCCTTTCCCACAGCCCCCGCTTGTTGATGTCTTGTCTCCTGAGACTTGCAGGTGTTTCACAAGGTGACTGACATCACAGACAGTCCCTGCCATGCTGGGGACCATGGTCAGTCACTCTTGGGGGTGATGCTACTCAAGCTTAACGTTTCCTTGAAGGTGTTTTTCATTTCCCTGCCTGTTACCTGATGCTTTTTGTTTCCCAGAATCTCATTGTTTTCACTTTAATTATGATATTTTTAAGTTTCATATGTTGAAGCCTAAGAATTATAGTAGAAGTACAAATGATTAAGAAAAATAATAATTAAAATTCTTGTGTTAATTTTTAACTCTTGATATATTTACTTTTCAGGCAAACCTAAATAAGTCTTTGAGGGATACTGCAGCCAGGCTTTCTGAGTTGGGATGGTTACATAATAAAATCAGAAAATACACAGACCAGAGGAGCCTAGATCGTTCATTTGGACTTGTAGGTCAGGTATGTTCATTATTAGTTGAACCTTTTGTATGTCATTCACTGTGGGATATGCTTAATCTACTTCAGATCATAGAAAAATAATTCTTAAGAGGGTTCTTTTAAAATAAGCTTTGATAATGGTTATTGTGTCAGTCACGATCCACTCAGGAAAGTAGAAATCACAGTAGGTATTGACAAGATAATCAAATATGAAAAATTGTTTAGTTTACATAGCTGTTGGAGGACTATAAAACCAAAGAATGCAAACACTAATGAAAACAGAGGTAGAGCTAGAGAGCAGAGAGAAGGCGATGGGATTATCAGAATCCCGTAGATCGGAAGAGGGGCTCCCCACAGGCACAGCCCTCTGAGGAGGGGCCTGCTGGACCACAGGCCTGGAAGCAGGGACACTCCCAGCTGCTGTGGGTGCCCCGGGCAGCACAGTGAGACTGGAGTTGGGAACCAGCCGGGCTGGCCTGAATGGCCGCGCTGGGACAGCGCCTGCCTGGTCCTTCCCCTCCTCCTGCCTCTGGAACCTGACAGCAGGAGCTGACAAAGAAGTGAAGTTTACAGAGTCCCAGCTTATTGTAATGGTTAGCAGCATAGGATTTTGCCCTCATGTTGACTCTTGGGCAGTAATTATTTCTTATGAAATCTTCAAAAAAATTACTGAAGGAGTGAGAGAGAGTCAGAAAAAAACTGCACTGTAAGCACTGCACAGCACAGCACAGAAAACAGCACAGCACAGCAGCATGGCTGTGATCCGGAACGTGGCTTTGAAGTGAGAACGCCCAGGATTCACACTGGCATTGCCTTTAATGGTTATGTCACCTTGGACAAGTTACCTTCTCTTGGCCGTGGTTTCTGTGTATGTATAGAATGGAGGTGATGATAATATGCAAGATGATGAAACCTGCAAGGTGATGAGCATTAGGAGAAAGTGCCTAGAAAGGAAAGCTGCTGTCCCAAATCTAGCACTGCTGTGAATACCATTCACCAGTACAGATGGGCCAGGGACGCTTCCCTCTCACTGTAACACAGATAAGGTGAAGCAAGGCCTTCAGGACTCCACCTGGCGCTCCACTTAACGATGTGTGGAGTTTGCAAATATGCAGCAGCGTGCAACAGTTTCTGTGAGTCCTTGCATTCTTCAAAAGGGACCATTTTTTCATGTCTTTATATGATTCCCTTATGAATGCAAATTCCACTGATATGTCCTAGTCGATTTACTAGATGTAAAGCAAAGCAAGCACAAAATAAATACAGGGAAGCTAAACTATTATATAGATTATTCCAACAAGTTGATTGATAATCACTATAGTAGTGTCATATAGTATTTTATACTACTGGGTTTTAAAGCCATTTCTCTCATATTTGATTTAGTAACGGCCCTCTAAAATTAACAAGGCAAATGTAATTGTCCCCATTTTTCAGATATAAAAGTTGAACCTCGGAAAGTTTAATTGATTTGTGCATGTTGCCCTGACTAGTAGATGGCAGATATGGGACCAGAATATGACATGTAATTTCTTCTCTGTCGTTCTTTCCATCCCATTCATTTTCTGATTTTTAAAATCATTGCTGTATACTACCTAGTTACTGAGGAAGTAGTGGTTTAGCCTATTAGAAGGATGATTGTGTACTCTCATTGGGGTGATGATATGTCACAGTTAGCATGAGTCCTATTGATTTGTGCCTGTTGTTCCAGTGTAATTATTATTGGCCCCTTTTTACTCTCAGAAGTATTCTGTCTCTTGATACACTAAATGGAACTAAATCTTATTTATAAAGGAAGATATTGTTTTCTAAGCCTAATACTTATATTTGCTTTTTAATACACCAAGCTGAGAACAGCCTTAGTTGACTGAAAAACTTTAATGTTGAATACACAGGGCGCTGAAATACTCAGATTGTAATTCTGTTATTTTGGTGGGAGACTACTTATAGACTGACATGTATACTCCTGTAAATGTTTATGTTCTACGTGGTAGATTATGATTTGATTATTTCTACTGAGCAGCAGTTTGGTTTTTAACTTTTATGTGTGTGTGTGTCTGCTGTGGGCACTGGGATGGGGTTTTTGTAAAAAGTGATGTTAAGCCTGAAAAGTTGCCATGTTGTTTTCTCTGAATATTACATAAGAAAACTGACTTTTGAAGTATTCCTTTGATTCTGCAAAAGTGGTATGCTTTATATTCATTTTTATAGCTTATAAGGATGAAAATGTTTGTATTAGATCAAATCCACAAAACATAAATACAGTAAAAATAAACCTATAGATGACTGATTATGTATTGCCTTAAAATAAGCAGGAAAGTGTGGAGCCTGATAATTAAAGAAAATAGGTTTTACCTTTGCAGCTTCTATCTGGTATAGGTTCTCTTGGAAAGCAAAGCTTCCCACTGAGTATCCCTGGGTTTACATCCCAAAGTTCAGAAAGTTCTTGTCACAGGACTATGTGAAGGTCCTTCTTACAGCTTCTGATTTGACCTCTTTTTAGCATGTACATTGGAGAAGTACAGAGAAGTTTTTAATAATATGGTTGGGAAAAATGAGCAGTACAAATAAAAAATAATTGGGGAGAATTGGCATAGTTGCCAATTGAAAAACATTACCAATTATGGACATTAAAGAAAATTATATTTTAACTCTTAATTTAGAAGGGACATACATTTTTAAATAAAGGATCATTGTATAAAGTGAATATACTTTTAGCTTCATGAAAAACATCGTTTTCTTCATTTCTCTTCTGTAAAATTCATGCTAAGGGACAACACTTCCCTAATTATTATATATATATATTGTGGTGGTTAAACCTGCTAGACCGTTGGCAGAATGAGAATTAAGTCATGCAGAGCACATGAACTTTGTCCTAAAGCATTATGCCTGTGCAGTTCAGATGAGCTGGTATGTGATGATGGTGTTGTGACTGTTGTGCTTTAATTAATTATATTTACTCCTTTCTGCACAGAGCTTTTGTGCTGCCTTGCACCAAGAACTCAAAGAATACTACCGATTGCTCTCTGTTTTGCATTCTCAGGTAAATACCTTGTTTTTATTTTAATTTCTTCATAATTTGAAATGTGACAACATTGCAGCTATGGAGAGTTTTACAGGTTTTTCATCATTACTTTTAAAAAATAAAAATCTATTTGATAATACTTTTTGTAAGGTCTGGATATCTATGAAGTTTTACTGTATCCTAGAACCAATTAATTACTTCTTTTCAGGGTTTTCCCTACCATTTCAACAGATCACTTGTATCTTGAAGGAACTATTCACTCAGAGGGGACCTTTTGCTTCATTTCTATGAGAATAATACCGTCTCTGTATTCACTACCTGGATTAAGAAATGATTGAAGGGATGGAATAAGCTTTTCACTCAAATGGAAATGAAAAAAAAGTGGAGTAGCGATACTTAACGTCAGACAAAATAGACTTTAAAATGAAGACTACAACAAAAAACAAAGAAGGGCACTATATAATAATAAAGGGATCGATTCAACAAGAAAACATAACCCTAGTAAATATATATATGCACCCAACATAGGAGCTTCTAAATATATAAAACAGATTTTGACAGACGTAAAGACAGAGATCAACAGTAACACTATCGTAGTAGGGGATTCAACACCCCGTTGTCACCAATGGACAGATCCACCAGACAGAAAATCAACACGGAAACAGTGGCCTTAAATGACACTTTACCAGCTGGATTTAATCGATATTTTTAGAGCATTTCACCCCAAGCAACATAATATACATTCTTTCAAGTGCACATGGAACATTTTCCAAGATAGACCACATGTTAGGCCACAAAACAAGTCTCAATAAATTTAAGAAGATCGAAATCAGATCAAGCGTCTTCTCCGACCACAATGCTATGAAACTAGAAATCAATTATAAAAAGAAACCTGGAAAGCACACAAATACATGGAGGCTGAATAACATGCTACTAAATAGCAACTGGGTCAAAACTGAGATCAAAGAAGAAATCAAAAGCTATCTCAAGACAAACGACAATGAAAACACAATGACCCAAAATCTATGAGATACAGCGAAAACAGTCCTAAGAGGGAAATTCATAGCAGTGCAGGCCAATCTAAAGAAGCAAGAAAAATCTCAAATCAACAGGTTATCCATACACCTCAGGAGCTGGAAAAAGAACAGCAAAACAAGCCCAAAGGGAGTACAAGGAAGGAGATAATAAAGACCAGAGTGGGAATAAACAAAATAGAGACCAGAAAAACAATACAAAAGATTAATGAAACCAAGAACTGGTTTTCTGAAAAGATAAACAAAATTGACAAACCCTTAGCCAGACTCACCAAGAAAAAGAGAGAGAGGACCCAAATTAATAAAATCAGAAATGAAAGAGGAGAAGTGACAACAGATACCACAGAAATACAGAAAATTTTAAGAAAATATTATGAGCAACTATATACCAACAAATTCGACAATCTGGAAGCAATGCATAAATTTCTAGAAGCATACAGTTTACCGAGTCTGAACCAAGAAGAAACAGAAACTCTGAAGAGACTGATTACTACCAAAGAAATTGAATCAGTAATCAACAAGCTTCCGACAAACAAAAGTCCTGGACCAGAGGGCTTCACAGGTAAATTTTACAAAACATTCAAAAAAGAATTAATACCTATTCTCCTGAAACTATTCCAAAAAATACAGAAGGAGGGAAGGCTCCCAAGCATATTTTATGAGGCCAGTGTTACTCTGATCCCAAAATCACACAAAGATATTACAAAAAAAGAAAACTACAGGCCAATAGTTTGAACATAGATGCAAAAATCCTCAACAAAATACTAGCAAACCGAATTCAGCATCACATTAAAAAGATGATACACCACGATCAAGTGGGATTCATTCCTGGTATGCAAGATTGGTTCAACATCCGCAAATAAATTGATGTAATACATCACATTAACAAAATGAAAAATAAAAATTATATGATCATATCAATAGATGCAGAAAAAGCATTTGACAAAATCCAGCAGCATTTATGATAAAAACTCTTAGCAAAATGGGAATAGTGGGATCACATCTCAACATAATAAAGTGTACAGCAAACATCGTACTCAATGGGGAAAGTCTAAAAGCTTTCCCCTTAAGATCAGGAACAAGACAGGGCTGCCCACTTCCACTTCTTCTATTCAACATAGTTCTGGAAGTTCTTGCCACAGCAATCAGACAAGAAAAAGAAAGAAAAGGCATCCAAATTGGAAAGGAGAAAGTAAAATTGTCAATATATGCAGATGACATGATACTATATATAGAGAATCCTAAAGACTCCACCAAAAAACTGTTAGAACTGATAAATGAATTTACTAAGGTAGCAGGATACAAAATTAATATTCAGAAATCAGTTGCATTTGTATACACCAATAATAAACTATCAGAAGAAGAAATCAGGAAATCAGTCCCTTTTACAGTTGCTTCAAAAACAATAAAATATCTAGAAATAAATTTAACCAAAGAAGTAAAAGACCTGTACTCAGAAAATTATAAGACATTGAAGAGAGAAATCAAAGAAGAT